CACACACACACACACACACACACACACACACACACACACTCTCTCTCTCTCTCTCTTTCACACGAACACACTTAAGCTCATCAGCTCCAATGACCAGCCTTGTAGAAAAGCAGACACTTGTTGCTATTTGCTCCTGTTCTCAGGGCAGCTGCAATTAAGGCGTAAAATTGCTCCACAGCAGTCTGGTTTGTTAAATCTTTTTTCTGCTTGCTTGTGATAGATAGAACCGCACACATGAACATGCTGTGCTTGATTCATAATCCTCACTCCAGTTAATTGTTTAGGTTGCAAATTTGTGGAAGGTAGATGCCCCGATGTTTTGCTTAAAACATCATACCTGCTAATTGCAGATTGAAATCAGTTTATATTTCCATCCAGGACATAATATCACCTCATCAGAAATTGTTTATGACTTTTAGAGTCAGTATATGAGAATTTGTAAATAGTACTTCATCAAAACGTTCCTGTATCACAGTATTTTTTACTTGTTTAATAAAAATGTTGACTCATATTTTTAACGACATGAAAGTTAAACTACTTGTACACTGTATGTTTTGATATAATTTAAAGTGATAACTGATAGAGAATAGAACATCTAAAACATCTCGTACTGAGTATTTATGCAACAAATCAGCAGGATTTTTGAACTAAATTTAGAGGCTCTTTTTTAAAAGACAACAACATGTTCCAATATTGAGTCAATAATATATAGAATAGTCTTTTCTGGCTGATTTAGTTCATTCTTGTGTGATCTTCATGAACGGTAAATAATGCTTGTCTCATTGTTTCAGCTACCTGTGAAAATGCTGTTTTCCTTCAGGCCTTTAGATTTTGGAGTGGGCCTTAAATACAAAACTTTCAATCTGATGAACCTGCTGCCGGTAAGAGATTTCTGAAAATCAAGACAAGACCTCCACACATACACACACGCCCCTCTGTCCCGCCCCTCACTGCTGCTCGCCTGTGTGGTTTATTGAAATCTCTTCCTCGCTCTGCAGGATAGCCCCGGCCTCTGGGGTAACAAGATAGATGTAAACAACCAATTATTGGATAGGCCCTCATTCACATCCCTCTAACCAGTATAGACACACCGGTTCTGGCTTTAATAATTCCTTTGCATGTCTGTCTGAAAGAATGTTACTCATCAACCCCTTGTTGTGCCTGTCTCAGGTCACTGTGCGTAGAAAATAAAAGCCATGTCCCTTCAATCCCAACACATAGGCATTGCAACACACACCAAAACACACATCTTGCAGTAATCAGCTCAATTAGTGCAGGTCCTGGTGAAGAGCAGAGGGAGGTTGTGAAAATAAGGGGGTTGGCTATTAGGAGAAATGTGATCTTCATTCATCAGCGGCTGTAATAATGACTGTTTCCCTCTGATCAAACTGATGCGTGGAAACAAGCAGTTTACAAACACTGTCAAGGGCCAGACACAGGACCCAGATCTGCTATGTAACTGCTCGTACACACACACACACACACACACACACACACACACACATGCAACATACTTTACAGCTGGTTCCATAGAAGAGGTTTTGTATTTGTTTTGTATTTGTACAATTTAACTGAGAATTCTTCTCTTGAGTTGGTTCTGATTCATCTTCACATAAAATTTAAAAAAAACAAACATTTTTCCTGATTATACAACTTTTTTGTCAGATGCATTCTAGTAGAACAAGAGCAGGGGTCTGTTGAGAGATGTCAACAGGATGAGGGTGATGGGAAGCTTTCCTCAGGGATGGAATATTTAAAGTGTTTTTCAACCAATGATGCCAAAGAATCCCATTTAACACATTATTTTGTTTAATAGTTTTACTTGTTCAACTCAATCTGTAGGTTAGAAGTGATTATAACTAAAACTGGAAGCCTTTTACAAACCAATGTGAGATTATAAATACATGTCAGATGAAAGCCAGCATACAGTCATTGCATGGGCATAAAGAGACCCCTCATGACCCCCATGCAGAGTCAAAACCCTATTTTTGGCTACATCTGCCCCCATTATCCCCTAAATCAATCCTAATGACTAAGGACAGAGTCAGTTCTCAACAGATATGGCTAAACTGCAACTTTGCAAAGAAAGAAAATGAATTAAATTATCAACAAGGACAAAGTCATGCTTATATGGTCTTAGCATTAGCATATTATCTAATGAGACCCCTCATGGCCCCTATGTAGAGCTAACACTGATATTCCAATTTATTTACTTTTAAATTACACGTTCAAGAATATTTTTAGTCCGTAAAATGTATGGACACGTTAGGCTATATGATGCTCTATATTAAGAGTCAAAACAGGACAGGACTGTGCTATAACCGCACAGTGAAACAGTGAGTGCACTGTGAGGGTTTGTGTGTGTGTGTGTGTGTGTGTGTGTGTGTGTGTGTTAGATGGGGGTAGCTGATAAGTTTTTATCTAACATCAGTTTTAAATGACTCGTCTGTCAAACTGTGTAGCTAAGAGGCGCTCTTACGTTCACTTATCGGCCTCGCGCCTCTGCGCACGAGCTTTCTTTGAAGCTGTCTGAATCAAAGTCAACAAATTGAAAGAATGAAGTTATTTCATAGTTTATTTGCAACGTTATATTATTATTAATATATGACATCGTAATTATTTTTTAACAGATCGGATTATTATGATTACTTATTAATATTCATGTTTTTTTGTTTCTTTCTGTGTGATTCTGTGTGAGCAGTGTATGTAGCCTTACGCTTGCTCGAATTTTCTCACTATCAATTTCAGACGGGCCCCGCTCCCCTGACGACCAGCAGTCAGCCTAATGCCTTAATACTGTGTGAACTGTGCTTCAGGCCAAACCCAAGACAATTTATTAAACACAGGGAGAACACAACGCGAAACAGGGATCAGGCTCATCTTACAGGACTCCACATCTCTACTGATAAACTCACTTCATAAATACAGGAAATGGTACATTTCAAAATGCTTCACTGACAGGAATAGCCTCTTAGGCCAAACAGCGGGAAATAATTTATTTATTAATTTTGATCAGCAAAAATAAGTGACACAACATCGATTTCTAAACCCCTAAGATTTTACACAGCTCTTGAGTCAGATTGGAGCTTTGCTGCAAATATAAAATGTGATGATAATAATGTAAAACGCTTGTCATTAGATGAAAGCAATAAGTTAAAGAGGAACGCGAATTACCACCAAAAAGACACTTTTTAATTCGTACATTTTTTGCAGGCTGCCTTTTTATTAGACAAGCGTCAGAAGTTCAATTTGTCTTTTAAGTTGAGTCTAGGCTTTTTAGTGGTGCACAGGTAATATTACGTTATGAGATGAAAGCTGCTGAAACGTGTGTGTGTGTGTGTGTGTGTATGTGTGTGTGTGTGTGTGTGTGTGCGCGCGCGCGTGTGTGTGTGTGTGCGTGCGTGTGTGTGGAGGCAGAAGTGCGCAGTGATGTGATCCTGAGTGTCTATAATGAAGAGGTCCCATGGTGAGGCGATAGAAATCTAGCAACTGGTCAATCTTTGAGCCAACAGTCAATAACACATGTGGGGGAGGAGGGGGGGCATACCGTGACATACGGTACAATTCACCTGACAACATCACGACAGCACATGGCTGTTTTTATGCTCAACATCTTGCCATTTTTCTCCAAGCGTAAGGCAGTCTGCAAAAAAAAAGTAAGCTTTTTCAACGGGCAGATCATTTCTAAAGTTTGTTTTCAGCTTTGATTTTTCCTAATCATTATATTTCAATATTTACTTATGGCATTTCTATAAATCTTGTCTTCTAATCTGATCGGGATTTTAATCTCTGACATCCATCTTCCTTTGCTCTGTCACTAAAACGTGTCAGCCAGACGACCTAAACACAAACAGAAAGTTTAGTCTCACCGGTGCGCTGCAGGTTTTGATTCCGCTTTTTCTTCTCCTCTACACGGCAGCCTCTCCTCCTCCTCCTCCTCCTCCTCCTCCTCTTCCTCCTCCTCTGCTCTCCGTCCAACAAACTCCGCAGCTCTCACGAGCGCTTCAGACCGTCAGCACACCTTAACAATGTTTGTCATTCTGTGCTCTCGTGCCGTCATCACCTCACACTTCATTTGGCCTACCAAGTTCCATCTTTTTCTCTATCACATTCACCAAATAACAAAACGATATCACCGAATAGCCTATATTCTAGAGGAATTTGTTTATTTTATGCAAGCATTACATTTAAAAAAAAAAAAAAAAAGTGACCATGAACAATATACCACATAAACAATTAATTCAATTATTCATGTAAATTCGAATCAAACCAGCAAGTGGGCACTTTATGATCACTTGGGGCACAGATTTCATTGATGCAATTTTTTATTTTATGAATACTTTCCACGCGTCTTAAGTCATATTTGTTTTTTTGTTTCTCATCTTATTTTGTGATAATCTGTAATACGTGTCTAAATGTTAGGGATTTTTACGCGTACAATATAGTCTTGTATACAGCAGCAATAAGTGAAGCTATTTTCCATTTTCATTCACTTGTAAACCAACTTTAAGTTCTTTAGATAAAGATGGTTCTTAGTTTCATTTAAAAGAAAACTTGAGGTGATCAGAAATCACATTTCTCTTTATTAATTTGAGATGAGTAGACATATTTTTCCTGTCCTGTCTGGGAGAATACATTGAAATTATTTGTTAGTTTTGCTTAATGTCAGTTTCAGTAAGCAGGTCACATACTTTTCACAAACTTTTCATCAAACTGTACACTTCTTGTCGTTCCTCTTATATAAAATGGTGATGAACTTTAAAGCTCCTGGACATCTTGATTGATTAGTACAACCGCTCGAGGCTTGAAGACAAACTTCAACAGACTCTGTGCGCTCTGGCGCCATCCTTCCCCCAGCTGCGGGACCTGTGCGCCTCCTTCTCCTGCTCCACACTCTCACAGCTCTGCGCTCTTTGGCTGCCCGGGGTGTCCGTCAAAGTGAGGGGGAGAAAAAAAAAACTGTTTTAGAAGAAAAATCTGAGCAATATTTCTGTTGGTAGGCGGGCTGCTAGTGAAGGGAACAATCGAGTTGACTTTGCCAGGGAGCCACCTCAAAGCGTCTCAGGTTACTTTGAGTGACAGCGTAACCATGGAGAATAATTTGACTAAGGCTATTGTCTTATCCTCACCATCCCCGGGTCAGATAACCGACCAATCAGAGTTCATATGATCGCTTGTCTTGCCAGCTTAGAATAATATTATTAAAACGAGCCAGCGAGCCCGGTCTCCGCGAGAAGGTTATGTTGAAACGCCAAAGAAAAGGTGGAGGAGGACGGTGAAGGAGCAGCGACGTTCTCTCTTTCTCAACAACTTTATGAGGATTTGTCGCCTGGGGTTCCGCATGGCTGAGTAGACTTGAGTTTACTCCACAACACGCTGTTGGATATTACACTTAACCTGAGGCTGTTTGAAGTTTAAGTCTATTTTGGGACCTTTTGTCGCTCATGGACTTATTGCGTTTTGATTTAATGTGAGACTGAGCGGAGCACCGTGGAAGTAAGGCACAATATAATCTGAATTGATTTACATTGTCGCCATGTCCATGCTTCCGACGTTTGGTTTTACGCAGGAACAAGTGGCATGTGTCTGTGAAGTCCTCCAACAAGGAGGGAACATCGAGCGGCTGGGTCGCTTCCTCTGGTCGCTACCGGCGTGCGAACACCTCCACAAAAATGAAAGCGTCCTTAAAGCAAAAGCCGTCGTTGCCTTTCATCGGGGGAACTTCCGAGAGCTCTACAAGATCCTGGAGAGCCACCAGTTCTCTCCGCACAACCATCCGAAGCTGCAGCAGCTGTGGCTGAAAGCGCACTACATCGAGGCGGAGAAGCTGAGAGGCCGTCCGCTCGGCGCCGTGGGGAAGTACCGCGTCCGGAGAAAGTTTCCCCTGCCCCGCTCCATCTGGGACGGAGAGGAGACGAGCTACTGCTTCAAAGAGAAGAGCAGGAGCGTCCTTCGGGAGTGGTACACCCACAATCCTTACCCGTCCCCTCGGGAGAAACGAGAGCTGGCCGAGGCCACGGGACTTACCACCACCCAGGTCAGCAACTGGTTCAAAAACCGACGGCAGCGAGACCGAGCAGCGGAGGCGAAGGAAAGGTAAGAGAAAATATACAGATACACTTGAATATATCTTAAATATAGTTGATACTTAGCATTAATGTCAATGGCTTCAACCAAATATGGAGAGCAATCACTTCAAAACAGATTCAAACTGTATTAGGCCGCTTCTATGCACTGACCCACATCTGGCAATTTATTGGAATGATTAAATATTTATATATTTTTAGTTCTTCAGAAAAATGTCCCAGCTCACTCCACACATCTGTGTTTGTTTAATGAAAATTAGGCAAGATGCAGGAACTTTTCAAACTGTTAGGTTAAGTCTTTGCTCACTTCCACCACTGTTGTTCTTGTGTTTGAGATAATACTTTAGGCCGTGCGTAAAAGTTAAAAGGTAGAAAATGAAAGGGTTGTCGTCAGATAAATTACAAGGATAAACGTTCTATTTATCCAACTTTCATGTTTAAATCACACTTATTATAAAATTAGAATATACATTACAGGATCAGAGTATTTCTCCCTCCAGATATTTGAGAGAACACAGATACGAAAACGTCTGAGAACACGTTAAAACGACGTTTTGTGGTGTAATTGATGTGGCAGGCCCTGACATTTCATTAGAAGTAGTTTGTACATTTCAAAGTTTGGAAATGACACAGACAGGCTTGCAGAGAGGTTTCTGGAGACGTGTTCCAGTCAGGTGTTCACTGGTTTGGTGTCTTCTTTCAGCCTCTGGCCACTAATTCGGGCTGAAAGCTACACGTAAATCATGTCTTCCCACTGAGAGAACCTTACTCACCACTGCACGCATATAAACTATACACTGAACGTAACAAATACACGTTCAGCAATGATTAGACCTGTCAACTACCCAGGCCGAAAGTTAGCTTTCTTTGATGAACGTCTTTCCTTACAGGTCAACATGCTTATAGCCATTCTCCATTAACACAGAGTCATAGTCAAATAGATTTATTGTCTTCAGTTACTGTGCACCACTGCGGCCATTTAACCCTGCACTGCTGTGGTAAATGACTGATAGCCACTAATTATTTCCAATAGTCCACTAACTGGTTGTTTTATCCTTGTGCACGTGCGCATGATTGATGCGTAAATAAATAATCACCCTGAATATTTAATGGTTTATATTAGAGATGCTCATTGCTACTGTAAACATGGCGCAGCCTAATTAATATCCCAGACTTAACACAGTAGCTAGTGTGTGTGTGTGTGTGTGTGTGTGTGTGTGTGTGTGTGTGTGTGTGTGTGTCTGCGCGTGTGTGTGTGTGCGCGTGTGTGTGTGCGTGTGTGCGTGTGTGTGTGTGTGTGTGTGTGTGTGTGTGTAGGCTGTTTACTGTTTCTTCCAAAAAAATTGTGGTTTTATTTTTTCACAGCGTTAAAACATGTAGTTTCTACTTCTTTTTCACATTCACTATTAGGCTATTCTTTTTTTTTTTTTTCATTGTAGTAGTAGCAGTATAGCAGCAGCAAGTATTTCTATATTAATAGGATCGTTATAGTATTGCTTCATTGTTTCTGACGTGCACTCACCTGTATTTTTTTTTCTTCCTTTTTTGCAGAGAAAACAACGAGAACTCCAACACTAATAGTCATAACCCATTGACCTCGTCCATGAATGGAAATAAATCTCTTTTGGGGAGTTCTGACGACGACAAAACTCCCTCGGGGACACCGGATCACACGTCACATAGCCCGGCCATGCTCCTCGGCCCCAACACCGGTTTACCCTCTCTGCACGGCCTCGCGCCCCCGCCGGGACCCAGCGCCATCCCGGTACCGGGCGGTGCAGACTCGATGCACCATCACCACTCTTTGCACCATGACTCCATACTGAACCCTATGTCTTCTAATCTAGTGGACCTTGGCTCTTAAAAGAACCGGCACAGAAGGGAGACAGACAGTAACGTTTTGGATAATACATTTACGAGATCGCGTGAGACAAGCTACAAACAATTACGGTAAAAAGGGCAACGCAGACGGACTTGAACACTGCGAAAACATCCACCATAACAAAACTTTTAGTCTCATATTCAGCCTTTCAAAGTCTTTTTGAACAAGTGGGGGGGATCTGCTGGTGTGCGTAAACCCTTTCTCTACCCCCAAACTAAACTTGTTTCTGGAATTTTCCAGCAACAAATCTCAAGGAAGAGCACTTCAGACATTTACCAAACATATGCCTATTTATAACAGGAAACGTTTTCTTAAATATTGGCATATGAGGGGGGAAACAAGACAGATTTATAAAGATGGAACATTTTTGCAGTCGTTGTGCAGACACAAGGTGAGGCGGATTTAGGTCGTTCAAGATTAAATAAATAAATAAAAATAAAGGGAAAAGACGTATTTTACCAGAATGTAAAAACGTAACATGTTATATTGTTGAAAACAATTACAATAAAATGTCTTAATTCTTATTACTATCACCGTTGTTATTTTAGGGGTTTAGATTTTGTCAGCAGACTCTAAAGGCACCGAGTTTAAGGCACCACATCGCCTTTTTGTTTACAAAGGGGTTTTCAAAGAGAGCCATAATACGTTTTTTTTTGTTTTTTTTAAAGAATGGATGTTTTTTGGGGGTGTGGGGGTGGGGGGACGGGGTGTATGATATGCTCAAGTGTCTTATAAGAGTCGCGAGAAGAGGAAATATCTTAATCTCTTGATATTATTTGCATTTTCGTTGGAAAGAGACTTGCATGTAAACTTTGCGAGAAATGATGAAACATAAAACATTCAACTATAGTTTCATATACCCTTTACAATAAAAAGTCAAAAAGAAATACATGGATTAAAAACGAGAATTTCTTTGAATATGAATCCTTCTTGGCTTTTCCTTTCTTTCTCTGTATGAAGCAACAGTTTGTTTCGATATTCGTCTGCTTCGTCGCTCTTTCTTCTTTACACCATTCATCTTGGTGACCTTTGAAAAACATGATAGTAAAACAAATATCCCCTCACTTGAAATCCCTGCGTTTCACGCTATTTCCCATGCACTTCTTATGTATCTACTTTTTAGAGTATTATATTAACCTAGGCTATACACTTGCTGCCAAAGTAATGGTCCATGCTGTATATTTCCATTGGCCTTTTGAATGTAGCCATACTCTGAGCCAGATTAACCGTCATGACGTTGGGGCACTGTTTTATCAGAAAGCATTACTGTAGAGCTCTTTCCTTTTGACACATGTGGCTGCTCTAAGAATGAGGATATTGTCCTTTATGTGTGGACGGGTCGATATTATCAGCCATAAATGCGGACGAGGAAGTAGTGAATGGTGGGGAAATTATGTTTCCAAGCTTTTTGTTCCTGACTATTGCAGATAAATTGAAATAGCTTAAAAAAATAAAAAAAAATAAAAAACTAGGCTACGTCAAAAAGTCTAATAACAGCGTAGGTAAAGTATACAGTTGAGTATAATTTAGGTGGATTAAGGACATATTTAAAATTATGATGTTTTTATTTCTTTTGTTTTTGTGTCACGTGTAGGCCTACGGAAATTATAATGTTATTTATTAATAATTAAAAAAAAAAACATGTTGCAACTTAGCATCAAATTTTACCGAAGTCATCCAAACCCTATTTTTAAAGGGGCGAAAAAGAAACACTTTAAGAGACTGAATAATGTGGCATGTGGCCATTAGCCTGTACAGGCGAAGTTGTGCGAAATGCGCACGAGCTTCTCCAAACCGGGAAACCTTGATTTCTAAGTGATGACACCTTATCTGTCCGCGCGCGGCTCAGGAGAACAGAAGTACTGTAGTGTTTGAGTGAGGAGGCAAAAAAAAAAAAAACACGACACAGAAGTGGAAACGGGCGGTGAAAGAAGACACTTTGTTTGAACAGCTTCAGCCGTACAACACCTCCATCCATATATCCACCACGTGAAGAATCAACTTTAATTAACAACTTTTCTACCAATCTTATAGAAGAGGATTTAATGTGCTTTCATTCTTATGAGCTGCGGTGCATCTAGGTGGTATTTTATTGAGATAGCCTACTTGTAATTATGGCTGTAATTATAATTTACATCATTCAACACAGTAACAGGTAGGCTATTTCCCTCATAATTTAGCGTTACATTTTTAAGAGGTTTGATAGGCCTATCCGTGTTGTATGTAGACCTTTTGTTTAATCATTTTTTTCACAATAGTACACAATGGTCTTAAAATATTTGAAACGGTGGAGGACAATTTTATTTCTTAACTCAGAGGAACATTGGAGGAACATCAGGGCTCATTCAGAAACTAGGTCTATCTAGTTTGCTCGGTTATAGGAGTTTAATAAGTGTACTCAGACAATGTGTAAACTGTCTCCCCTCCTGTCATTAAATATAGAGGATCACTCGCACATCGTTGGGTACAACTTGTGGCGCGTGAAGGTCAATTACATACAGCCCAAAGCCCACACTTAGTAATTAACAGGACTTCAGTGAATGCGGCTCTACTCAAAACAAGCGTGTAACAGCAGCTTGCGAGCAGACAAAACACGGAATAGTTGGTCTCTCACCAAACCAACTCTGTAACCCTTCAATAGCTGTGATTTTCGTCTCTCTCTCTCTCTCTCTCTCTCTCTCCCTCTCGCTCTCCCTCCCTTTCTCTCCCCCCCCCCTCTCTCTCTCTCTGTATCTCTCTCTCTCTCTGTATCTCTCTTTCTCTCTCTCTCCTTCTCTTTTGTTTCCCATAAGAAATGTGAACTTGATCTGGCATTGTGAGCGCGCCATGTGTGAGAAGAGGGGAGGGAGGGAGAGGCTATTAAACGATTTTTGGGCAGAAGATGTTAGGAGAATCCGCGAGCATTTAAGTAAAGTCCTAACAAGGAGCCTCGGTTATAAACGCTGGTTTGATTTTGCCAAGCAGGCTTATCGGAACAATGGCATCCAACTGAAGCAGAGGAGTCAGGAGAAACGGCAGGACAGGTGTGAACTGGACTTGATTTCTGCGTGGCACAAATTCATCTGCAGGGGATTTAATCTCTTGACAATTTACCAACTGTGAGGATGTCACAGTCAGTTAACAAATAGTCTTGTAGAGGAAACACATCCTGAGACAATAAGGAGGGAATGTTGAGTCATGGCCTCGTAAAGATCAAATAGCCTCCATTCATGTATCGCAAACCGTAGAAATAGTTGTTCTGACCTAAGAGATCTGTTTATAACTACAAATTAAAACCCCAAATCAGTGTTAATGTAGGCTATGTCTTCACAATCAGACTGTTTCACCGCCAAAGTTTATGTAAAAATCATTTATATGAGCTTTTTAGTAAAACAAACCCGCTCTGATTGTTAGACTATTCATTCATTTCACCGCGTCCATTAAAAGCAATAAATGTCGCAGTTCTCATTCTATAGTCTACTACAGGCTTTGTATTCGTGGGTTTCAAAATAATTACCTAATTTACCTTTTGATTTCTTGAGCAATTCTATTCAGACCTTATAATTAAAAAGAAAAAAATAGTTTTAAAAGGCTCTTGCTCTGAGTCGTTACGCAAACATTTTATCTCTTTCAGTTTTCCTCCTTTTTTGTCTGCGGGAATTATTTAGAAAAAAACAACGCAGCCAGGTACACATTTTTTAATATCATCTTTTAAATAAACAACAAACATGTTTATTAAAACGAACATTTCATAGCATACGAAAATATGGTATATACGTCTGTTTGTTGTTGTTGACATTGCCATATTATTATTAAGATATGCCATTAACTGAAATTTTATACAAGGGGTCATCCATAGTAAAAATGTCCAGCTGTTTGATATAATGACTGCAGTAGAGTGGATTGACAAAGCAATTCTTATATAAAGAAAAAAAAAACTTCTTACCATAACTGGTGAATTAAAAAAAACAAATGAGTGTTGTTTAGTTAAAAAAAAGGCCCACACTGAAACAACACCTGGAAACAAACTGTATAAGGAAACAAGAACGCATTTTCTAATATTTCCAAAGAGATGATTTAAGAGAAATTCATAGTTTATGTATACATATATATATATATATATATATATATATATATACATACATACATATATTGTGTTAAAGGTTAACACACTCTATAGGTACAGTGATGAGTTTTATAATGTGACACATTATTGGTCCCGGTGGGGAAATTCACTTTTCACTTAGGCCCCCTTAAGGGAGGTCAGGGGTCAAATGTTTAAAGCAGCCGCCCCTGAAGCTTTAAGTTATTTGCTGTATAGCTTAAAGAAACTTTGGCAGAGCAGGAACAGAGATCGATTTTGCCAAAACACAGCGGCAGTTTAAAGATGAATGTAGTCTGCTCAAAACAAATGATTTTACTGTCCAAATGTGCAGCAAGTGTCAGAGCTCGCACTGTCCCAGTAAAAATCTCACCAAATATAGGCTAAGTGTGTGTGAGGATGGTAGTATAGAACACAAAAAAATATTTCTGAAATGAAGAAAGGCATTGAGTGTGAACACTTTACTATTAATACCACTTGTTGCCTACAAAGGGTGCTGGTTGTACTAACAAGGGAGTGGGACAGCTGGGATTTACATTACTGATATAGTGTGACTGCAGAGTGAAGTGTTAGAGGCGAGTCAGCTGGTGGTACCATCATTACAGCTCTGCTTATATAGCATAGTTACAGCACTTTAAAAGAAATGTACCCCTTTATTCAAACCTTCATCTACAGTTATGTTTTTATTTTCAATGTATACCTGTGCTTTAAATGGATAAAAAATAAAATGCAGATAGGCCTGGATTAACATGTGTCTGTGTATAGCAGACATTACTCCTTTTGATACATAATTTTTTTTCTTTAAAAAATCCGATTCATACAACAAACTATGCAAACAGTAAGACAGACTAACTCTTCTCTTCTGCAAGTGGGTATCAGCAAATCTATACCAACAAGGAACCCATCTTGTGGAATGGGAATAACATGTTTAAAGTGAAAAACATCTTTCATAATCTAAAAACCATGAGTGCATTTTTGTAAGAGCTGCAATGTCCTTTTCAAGGGAAGAAGCTGCGCAGAAAACAGCAATAGGTCAAATATGAAAATACCAAATTGACCTGCTACCTGCATCATTTTGAAAAATAAGTTAGTACCAAACATAGGATTCAGTAAAAAAAAATGTTAATATGATTAATATTCATGTCATAATCTTTTGGATTTGCTCTTAAGTATAACAGGGATTCAGATGGTTCACAGACAGACTGCAGTCTGCTGATGCAGTAATGCATACAGACAGACAAACAGACAGGGGTTCTGTTCTCAGGTAGAGACGAATTAAATCATGCACATATTCAGGCCAAGAACCAAGAACACCCAAACAGACAGCCGAAGAACGTCAGAGAGCATTAGTAGTATGATGGTTGTTTGTATCCCAAATAGCGTGTTTTTGTGCCACACTGTAAGTCAAATACTGATTCGGGGTAAGGTTCAGCCTGAACTCATTTAGGGAATTAAACACTCAGGCAATCCGATTGCTATCAAGATGAGATCTAATATTCAAAACGCAGGTTGGGGACCTGTTAATATTACTCAGAATGTAATTGACAAGTCTTTTACAGCAATGCATGAACATCAACATAATCAGTGGTATGATTTTTCTTTTCTTTTTGCTAT